ATTATTATTGTTGTTGTTGTTATCTTTAATTGTTGTTGTTATGTTGACTTTTATTTGTGAAAAATACATTTATTTTTGGATAAACTTGTTTGGACTTATTGTACAAACCTATTTAACCCTTATACTATGTTGAAAAAAATTATATTGATTATGTTGCGGGTCATTTTGACCTGTACTATGTAAATGAATGCAAAACAGTCACAAAAACAGGTTAAACCAATAAACATTTAACTAATATTCAATAAACCTTTAGAAAAGTGGCATACAATACAATTTTAATTCATTAATAAACACTTTATTTAATAGCTATTTTATACCCCCCACTACACATCAAAGTGACCAGATTTTACACACAAGTTCATGTCCCCAGATGAGGAAAAGTCACCAAATTTCATGAAGAAGAAAAAAGGATAACCAGAACTTTGATCAACACAAAAACTGAAATGGGTCTAATTGAGGGTTAACACACACTATTTTAACACAATATTATGTATTCAGTTTGATTCAGTGTTTGCAAGATTAATTTCACTATTTTTAAAGGAATGTCTATATTGCCATAAAGCAATTAGGATAATGCATGTTTATTGCAACATTTTTATATTTGGGAAATTATTTTAACGGCTACTGTCACTGAAAATAACGTGACTGCAGTTTTTGATGTTGTATTTAAAACTTTCTAAAAACGTTTTAAAGTTTGCCCCACACTTCCCAGGGGTGACGTATTCAAAATGGCCGATTTGGATGGGCAGAGACTTGAATGGGCGGAGTTGGATGTCTTAGGTGGGCGGAGTTGGATGTCCAAAAGGCGCTGCAGCGATATGTTCTTGGGAAATCCTGAGTGGGGTGGCCCCAGTGGGTCATCGTCCTGTTTGGGGTGGAGTGGTCAGACCAGAACCCGCGGTGGGGTTCAGGGCCCTAAACCAGCAGGCACGGGTGGAAAAGAGACACTTCCAACCTTTTTCTGCATACAAACTTCAAAGTTTTTGCAGCTCGTTTTATTGCTTTAAGTCATAAATATATATGGATTAATACATATTATGTGTAAAGTTATTTTTATTACTACCACCATCAATTAAAACAGTCAAAGCTTACTAAGCAATTTATGGAAGATAACACATCAGGATTGGAACACGTGCATAAAGAGTCAGCTAACAGTTAGCTAGGGTACTGACCCTGACCAGTGCCCCCCCATGCCCCCACCACCGGTCATCATGCAGGGAAAGGTGACAGGCAGCCAAAAAAGAAATCCAGAAAACACTGGAGAGAAGAAAGGGAAGGATCTGGTCCTCTGGGCTCCACAGCGCCCCCTACTGTTCCCGCTCCTGCAAACACATCTGAGCCCCTGCACGCGCAGCTACTGGATCTGTTTTAAAACATCACCGACCAACCGACCCCCCCTGTGTCAGGGGGCACCTATGGGAGCTTTTATTTATTGGGATTCTGGAGCGGAACGCTGCGTCTGGGTGCGCGCCCCCGGTGCTCCACCCCCCCGCTGTGAGAGGTCCGGGGGGCGGGAAGAGGCGTGTCCCGGCGCCGTGCCCGCGCCTGCGAGGCTCCGGCTCCGTCCGTGCGCCTGTTGCGGAAGCGGGAGCGCGCGCGGGCTGTCCCAGTCTGAGCACCCGGCGGCGGCGTGACAGCTCCAGCCGGCCACGTCAACAGCAGCAGCGCGCGGCCATGGACCCCGCGAGCCTGGTGAGCTGCGCGCGGGACCCGGCCCCGGACCGGACCGGGCCGGGGCCGGGGGGGACCGGACCGGGGCGGGCGCATGGGGGGGGCACACCGGGGCGACACATTTGTTGCGTGGCGGTAGTTTCGGTGGGGACGTGACGGGGACGCGGACAGGGACGCGCGGGGAGCAGCTGGCGGCCCCGGGGGGGGGGGCTCCGGTGGGGGGTTTAGCCGCTCATCTCCCCATCCGGGCTGTGAAATAGAAGCGTTCAGAGTCCGTGTCCGTGGAGGAGAGAACTTCCCGGACCCGGACCCGGACCCGGACCCGGAGCCCGGAGCCCGGAGCCCTGAGCCCGGAGCCCTGAGCCCGGAGCCGGACCCGGACCCGGACCCGGAGCCCTTGTCCTCCGGCCCAGCCGGCCACCGTGTTCCTGAGCAGAGGAAAGCCGGTGCACAGAGCGGCTCCGGTAAAAAGCCCCGGCGGCTGAAGTCGGGGCTGCGCCGCGCAGGGCTCGGCTCCGCCGGGCAGAAACGGAGTGACGTGGAACGCAGGGTAGGTGCCACGTCCACCGTTTCTCTCCGCGCTCGCCCTGCGCGCCCTGAGCTCAGCCCACTGCTCCGGCCTCAAAAAGCTGCAAACGTGTCAAACGGCTCTTCTCTCTGCATCCTCTGCACCAGGCGGCCGTCGGAAGAAGGTTTCACTAAAAAAAAAAACCACCAGAGAGTGAAAACTAGCCTGATTAGGCCAGTTCTAGGATCTTTACTTGGCCCGAGTTTTGCCATTTTAATGACGTATCTTTTGCATTTAAGCATGCCAAACATGCAATTCACACATAGCAACCAGAAGCTTCAGTTAGAATTTGAACCATCCAACATTGATGAATTAGTTTAATTTATAAGGAGGCTAAAACATCATTTCCAAAGAAGTTATGACTGAGAACAGACATTTCAAACGGACCTCAACAATGACTAAGTTGACAATTAATTCTGGAAAATAGTGCTAAATTTTAACTATTCCATGGCTCGTTTAGTGTCTGAAGGCCATCTAACAGCCAAAGGTTGGACAGCTGGAGGATTACTGACTCAGAAAGAGCACATCAGAGAGGAAGAGTCTCTCAGAAGTAACATGGACAGCCATGTAGAAACCTACATGGAAAAAAGAGAAATGGAATCTCACCCTAGGATCACCAAAATAAAAGTTTTTATAAATAAAAATATGAAGAAATAAAGAATAAAGAAGCTTAAAAATACATCTTTTTTGGAAGATTAAGCAGTCGTATGTCAAGTTTTCCTCTATCTGGAACTTGGCCAGTTTGAGCATACAAAGTGAAATGATCATTAATTCATCAACTCTTTACAGTCTTACAAACCATTTCTATGCTCTTTATCACTTCCTACACTCATAGACCAACATGATTTGTCCATTATATAAAATTCTACATGTGTCTTGGTCGCATCCCATCCATCAGCCGTATGCTTCGATGTATTTTTTTTATGTTTTTAGGCTAAAAATGCTTATTTCAATACAAAAAATATTCAAACTTTAAATATCAAAACGCCTTTTTTTTTTCTTACCAGAAAAAACATAGAGAATGATCCCAGATAAAACCTCATATCCTGTTTAAAGATCCAGGATACCACAAAAGTGAGTCACACTACACCAGCAAACCGGCTCTGGCACAAAAGACAGGAAATCTGGAGGGAGAACTGAAAACAATTTGGGATATGCACAAAGATTGAAACAAAACTTAGTATAAGGATGGAAGAGGACATTTGGAAGTGTTAGTGTGGGCTGGATGTGGGCTCAGAGGATGCAGGTTCTGCTCAGAACCACAGACTCTCCTGGCCCAGCGTGAGACGGATCCTGTCTGCTAAAGACTGCTTCTGGATTTGCTGGTCCGTCAGCCAAAATGTGCTGGAGCATCCTTGTTGGGATGTGAAGGAGCTTTAAAAGGGGATGTTGCGGTTTTAAAGATGCAGCGCCCCCTGCCCCCATAATGAAAAGCCTCCTCACCGTGTGGGTGGACGGATCCTTAAGGGGAGAGTGAGGTCATTTGTGGCCCTTTCCACTAATAAGGACTCGGCTCTTGGCTGTGACCCTACTGGACCTCTTCCCCATGTTAAGATGCTGAACTCCCCTTTGGTTAAACAATTTGAATTAGCCCATTTGTGCCCATTTTTCATTGTACCTACACATTTGTTTTTTCTTATTGTGAACATTTGCTGATTGGTAATGCTGTAATTCTGTCTTGGTGCATTCAGAATTCTGATTCCATTTAGTCCTGAAAACTATTTTTAAATCCTAGATATTCTGTGTGTGAGTAGCTTGAAATGTTGGATACACAGTAGCAGAAGTTGCTGCTTGGAGATTGGTGAGTTATGAGGAACTAGCCCAGTGTTGGCCATACAGGGCATTTTACACTTCCAGTCACACACTGCACCTCTTTTGTTTAGCAGTACAGACATTTTGGCTCTTCCTGAGCTAAGAGTGCTCATTTCTGCTATAGAAAGAGCATCTTTATGGCACTGAGACGCATACCCAACTTTAATGAGAAGCTGTAAAAGTCCGATAATCAGTCACAGAAGTATCATTGCAGAATATGCATTTAAATTCAGTTTAGTTTTATGCAACAAAAAATCTCCAGCCCTCCGATATAGGCAGTTAAAGCTGAGATGTATCTTTTGTTGTACTCATTCCCAAAACTTTCAAACAACCTAAATGGACCTTGTGTTGCTCTGACCATGTCGGCTCCGCCCCTTCTGCTGGGCATAGCATGTTCTTAGGTTCTGGTCCAAGTTCTGTGATACACTCTGACTGTGAATCTTTGCTAGTCAGTGCATAACAGAACTTTGGCCCGGCTCTAACAGTCCTCCGGTGGAGCAAACTATGGAAGAGGAGGGGATGAAGCGCTGAGGCCTGTACCTGTTTTAGTTTTTTCTTTTGAATAGGTCCTCTTTGGGAAACTCAAACCAGTACAGACTATTGAAAAGGGCCAGATGCTGTGAGCACAGGGAAATGAAATAAAATGCTTCCTAAAAATGTGGTCGTTTCTGGGTGATGAGCAGCGATGCCACACACCCCTGTGGGAGGACTGAATGGAACTGGACCAATGACACCTAAACTAAGGCTAATGTAGAAGTCCTGAAAGGCATCCCAGGGAAATGAAGTCAGATGACTGCCGTGTCTTTTCAGGAGCCCTCCCTCTACACGGTGAAAGCTGCCTTCATCCTGGATAACGATGGCAACCGACTGGTGTCAAAGGTAAGTTCAGAGATGTTTAAAGTGGAAATGCTGATGCTTAATGTGTACGCCTGATCTCACTCCTGCTGTGTGTGAGTTTCTGGCCTGCACAGATCAACTGGTGTCTGTCTCTTTTCAGTACTACGATCCAGAGCTTTACCCCTCACTGAAGGAGCAGATGAGCTTCGAACGCACCGTTTTCAGCAAAACGCACAAAGCAGACAGTAAGTTGCCCCCCCCCCCCCCCCACCCCCAAGCCATCAAGACATCTCCAGTGTCAACTCCTGCTGATTCTGCCCTCTGGAGCCCAGAGCGTTTTCTGCTGTAGTGTCCCCACTGCATTGTGGATCTGAATGGAAATGGATCTATAGTGTCCATGACAAGAGGGGGGGGGGGGTCTGGTCACATTCTTGTCAGAGAAACCTGACCAGCACCCTCCTCTGGTTCTCACACAGCTGACACCCAATCAGCAGGTGGCCTGCCACTCCCCTCTCCTGCCTCGTGGACACGCATGTGAGATGGACACGCACCCTCTTTTACCTGAGTCTCAGTAGAGGATTAGAACGTGGGATTCTGGCCCCTTGCAGGAAAACAAAAACGTAGACCACCCTTATGGCCTCCCCAGGAGCTCAGAGGGTGAGCTGGACCTCTGAAGTGTGTCCAGTATGTCTCAGAGAGGGGTCCTCACTGCCTGTAGGCCTGGGAGGAGCTGCAGGGCACTTCCAGAGTACGGGCTCCATCCTTCAGCAAAAAAAACCCAGAGCTACATGTCCGACACATGTGGCCCAATCGACACGTGAAGTACAAAAATGTTCCATAACAAAAGAAGTGTGTGCTTTTTACACTCCTGACCAAAGCTCCTCCAGGGATGAATCCAGATTCCAAATTCAGACTATGGCACCTGTTGAAGTGGAACTTTTTCCTTACTTTAGATCCATTAGGAACGAAAAAGTGTAGGTGAAAATGGAAAAGTGTTTTTATCAACTGCACACATTTTTCATTGTATCATAAAGTAATCTTTTTTTTTTCATTCTGACAAGACACATAATGTGTATAAAGCTAAGTGGAGATGGTGCTTTCTTCTACAGATGAGATAGCGTTCCTGGAGGGGATGACGATCGTCTATAAGAGCAGCATAGATCTTTTCATCTATGTGGTTGGAAGTGCTCAGGAGAATGAGGTAAGACTAGTTTCAATTTTCCATCCAGTCAAATGTTCTCTTTTAACTCAGAGTACAGACATAAACTGGAAACGACTGCGGAGGGTTTAGTTTTCCCTTCAGTACCAACAGTGCGTCACATGGGACTGATCCCAGAAGCTGTGAGAAAAAGCCGGCACTTACTGGATGGATCTGGAGTGAACAAAGATGTGAAGCCCTGTTTGCTCTGTGGAACAGAACTCCATGGGTTGTTGTTTTTAACGTAGCCCATATCCTGCACCCCCCTAACAGCTCTTTCTTTTTCTCCCGTTAGCTGATGCTGATGTCAGTCCTCAACTGCCTGTTTGACTCCCTCAGTCACATCCTCAGGTATGTTCTTCATCAGTCTTAGAGCAGAGGAACTATGACTCATGGTTGTTTAGAAAGCTGCTGCAAGAAATTCAAGATGGACAAATCCTCCAGATATGTCCCCAGTAAAATGGACTGGTGTTTGTCATCAGTTAAAACCATGAACTAGTACAACCATCAGTTATAATATAACATATATTATTATTGTTGTTGTTATTTTACAGGATTCATACAGTTGTAGTAAAGGCAATAATAAAGCTGTTAAAAAGTTAATAAATGAATCTGGATGCAAAAACGTGCTTGTTCACTAAGGTGATGCCAAATCTGGATGTAAATCTAATGTTTTTTGTAGCACTTGCCAAGTTTAAAGACTCACTTGTGTTTCAAGCCATCCATTAGCCTAAATGTGTGTTCTCTGGAGGGCAGCACCACAGCTCCGGCCTTACCGGCATGTAGGAAACGGCCTGCAGATGCAGAGAGCTTTTTGGTTTGAAACAGAAACTCTACAGCTGATTAAGCTCTGCAACATTTAAAAAACATGGTGGGCTTCTGCAGAATAACAAAATGGAGAGAAGGAAGAGTTTCTCAGTTGACTTCTTCTCTCCTGGAAGTGTCTGGAGGTAGAGTCTGAGCACCATATGAGCAGTTGGAACGGTCAGAACTGGCCCATTTTCCCATTAAAGAGTCCAAACCCGGCTCCAGACGGGCTGCCTCTGGGTCTGTGTGTGTGTGTGTGTGTGTGTGATGACCAGTCCAGATGTGACTGGGGTTTGCTCCGTGCTGCAGGAAGAACGTGGAGCGGAGGTGTTTACTGGACAACATGGACGGAGTCTTCCTGGTGTTCGATGAGGTCATTGACGGGGGGTAAGAGGAGTGGAGCAGAGGGCCGTGACGGGGGGGGGTCCCAGCCCTGTCTGAGCATGTTCTCCTGTTGCAGGGTGATTCTCGAGAGTGACCCCCAGCAAGTCCTACTGAAGGTCAATTACAGGGTAGGATGTCCAGTTCCCACCCATCCCACTGCTCATTCCCTTCAGCAGAAGCCGCGATGATAAAGTCCCAGTTAGCGGTTCCCACCGCTTCTTCTGCCTCCTCTTACCTGCTTCATCTTTGTGTCTCCTTCTCTCTGTGTCTCCTCTTTTGATTGGTGGCAGCTTCTGCCAGAGGCAGCCTATGGCTTTGTCCTGTTTGACTACATCACCGGTAACCTGGAAGCTCAA